GGGGGGGGGGGGGCGGTCAGGCGAGGGAAGCGTGGGGCGTGAGCAGTAAGGGACCGGAAATAAAAGAAAATCGCGCCATTGACTCCTCGGCATCTCATCATACGGCACCGCTTCAAAAAAGTGCCGAATCTTCCCAGCGCTGCCATTTTGAACAGGCTTTGGCCTCAACTCGTCGTCTCCTCTAAACACTCCCTGCACAGCATCATCATATCATCATATCATCATCATCGTCGTCAGCAGCAGCAACAACAAAGCACAATGACAACTCTTACCTCAGCCATCTCCGTAAACTTTTGGGTGGCCAGGTCCAGGCGGCCGCTGAACGTGTAGACGCTGATCAGGGCATTGTAGGTGAACTGATTCGGAGCGATGTTCTCCTCCGGAGGAGCCTGCTGCATCTCCTCGAACAGTGCCTGCGCTCGCTCCCATTCCCCTCTCTTGAAAAAAACAAAACAAAAACAAAGGCATCTCACATCAACATCGTACAATCAAATCTCCCGGTGAAAGGCTGCGCAAGGGGTTTGAAGAACTGAAGTTCATTCCCGACCGGCAAACATGCTGCAAGGGGCGTGCTAACAACATGAGCGTCGAAGAGAATTTAAGTTCAATCCGACCGGGAAAAGACTGCGAGGATGCGTGAATACTATACAAAGAAAGTACATGAAACAGCTAGACGACTGCATTCGACTTGCGTACATACGAAACGCGTCATTTCGGGCGGAGGGACTGTGTACCGGCACGGGGGGAGGAGGTAGTAATAGCTGTGCGTTGGCGTAGTCGTTAGACCGTTGACCCCGACCTCGCATATCTACAGAAGCCGGGACGGAGCACGCCACGTTCACCGGACCAGGCTCCCACACCACGGACTGGCACGGGGGGAAGGGGGTTGAGTAATCAAGGCAACCTCAAAACGTCTTCGAAAAAAAATCGGCGTAATCTCCTTTGGTCCCGCTTGGGCTTGTCGATACGGCAGCATAGTGAGCAAATTCCATGATAACTATATAGCGTCGATTAGGTAGGCCAACCGATTCGCCTCATTATATAAGGTCAGGTTAGAAACCAACAAGAGCCTTGTCTGATTTGTCCGATTCTAAGGCGACAAAAGGGGAGGGATGTATTGTAGCAGCACGGCGTGATGAGCGAAAGACACGTCAGGGTTACGGTCACGTCAAGCCGAGCCGAAACATGCCTACCTGCTTGCAAGAGGAGATGACGGAGGTGTACGCCGCTGTGCGGATCGGCTTCCCCTCCGACTTGAGACGGTACAGGAGCTCCTGCGCCTCTTCGTACAGTTCCGCCTGTCGAAACAAAACAAAACGAATGGACAATCCAATCGCACAAAACAGAACCACCTCAGCAAGGATGCATGCGACCCTCGCAGAAGGAAACGCAGCCAGGTCCGTGGTAACCTCAATCTTTACGCGCTGGCGGCTGGCGGTCTTCCTTCTTGAGGTTTGGCAGGGACAAGGATTCGGAAGGGAGGGAGAGAGTTCCGCCTGTCGAGATGGAAAATGGGAAAACAAAAACTGTCCGAAGGTTGCCTGGAATCTATATCATTAGCATCAAGAAGGCCACAACCACCCCAACGGGAGGAGGGCGCCCGGGGAAGTATGCCTCCCCCAGGTCAAACCATCCAAAGCGGGTGAAGTATGCCTCCCCCGATTGCAAATACAACAGATCATACTGTACCACCTGTAAAAAAGGAGTAACTTATAACACGATCAAATTACATTTTGTTATCGGATAAAACCTGTGGGCATTTACCGAGCGGTGTAACTTTATTGTCGGGTGTCTTGAGCAAGGCTCTTCCGTTTCCGACAGGTGATATTGTGAATCTGGTTGACCTACTGTGCACACGAATGTCGGTCATCGGAAGAAATAGACAAGAGGCGGAGGTGAGTTACCTTGCAGTAAGCCGTGATGAGGCTCGTGTAGCACCCCTCGCCGGGGGTTTCGCCTCTTGTCTCCATGTCGTTCATCAGGTCCTCGATCACCTGACAGTAGTAGGCACAAAAAAAGGGATTTGCCGTATCATATCACATACGTTGCTTTGAAATCGAAAAAAAACAACAACTGAAAACGAGAAAAACAACCGCCATGTTGTGTTCAAGGATAACCACGCCACATCGTCGTCCTTTCCCCCTCGCCCCCCGCAAACAGACTTCACAACATGAGAGCGAGGGAAACGCACCCCGATGTACGCCCCACGGGCGAGTACGCTAAAGGCTATTGTGTAGGCGCGTTCGTCCACTGGAGTGCCCGTCTTCCACAGCCCTCGCACCACGCCACCGGCGGCGTCGTAGACCTCGGTGATGTCGCACGCTTGGAGGCAGTGCTTGATCGCGAAGCCGTCGGGGGAGAGGCCGAACAGCTGCATCTCCCGAAACATCTCGAGCACTAGGTGCTAAAGAGTGCAAGGGGCAGGGCGGGGGTACGATTCAAATACCCGAGCAATGCATCTACCGAAGCATCTCAAGCACTAGATCCTAAGCTGAAAGGTTTGGGGGGGGTTACGATTCAAATACCCGAGCTATGCATCTCCCAAAGCATCTCAAGCACTAGGTCCTATGTTGAAAAGGGCGGAAGGGGCAGAGGAAAGGGGGGGGGAGTTTCATATATACCCGAGCTAAGCGATGCAGAAGCTGACATGAGGATGATTTTTGCTGCTTTGATCGCACATTCGAGAAGTTCTGCGCAAGCACTACATGTGGAGGCCGGGGGAGGGGCGGGGGGGAGCAATCGCACCCAGTAGGGCAAGGCCTACTGCACACGGCGACTCCGATCCGGGGCCCATCTCAAAAATAGGGTGTACCTCCCCCGACCCTGGGCACAGTCTGTAATACATACCCCGTCCTTTGATTTGCGTCACTGATTTCTGGTAAACCGCAGCGTCCCCGTTTGTCCGGTACAAATCACGCCTGACCGTCTCGAGCGGAACATGTACATGCCACCATGTCGCCCCATGTTAGTTACAAACATGCTCAAACGCAAGCCTCTTGCTCAATTCTTCCAAATACATCAGCAATTACTGTTGCGTAGTTCCTGAAACCACAACCCTAAGCAAGGGTGAAAGCAGAACAAAGTTGGGACACACCCACGAGTACAAGCTGCCGGTTTCTATGCTACAAGCTTCAACAACCTTCAAGGACAGGCAGGCGTGCGGACTTAACCACGGGCAAGCGCTCAACCGTGCAGATAGGTCAACCCCCAGGCTATATGCAGGTACCACGAGCTCACATATTGTTCTTCTTGGAAAAGCGCAGCGATGACTGCGTTGTACGACACCGCCGTGACCTTGAGCTTGGCCTGAGAACAGAAAAAGAAGCAACAGCAACAAAAAGGAACGAAAAAATAAGAGGGCGCGATTTGTGTGATCAGGACATCGTCACAGCAGCAGCAGCAGCAGCAGCAGCAGCAGCAGCAGCAGCAGCAGGGAGGGGGGGAGGGTGTACTCATAGTCGTGCATGCCGTAGTCGTCAGACCATTGACCTCGCATCCCTACACGGCCGGGACGGAGCACGCCGGGTTCTCACCGGACCAGGCTCTCACATCACCAAGCGCGAGGCGCCGTGAGAGATTCGGCGAGTCGCATGAAGGGTGCGCTGCATCCTGCAAAGGGTGTTCGGCATCTTGTGCTTACTTCCTTGCGTACGGATGGCAGCTGCGAATGACTTATTTTATTTTCTGGTGCTTTCACTTCCTGAGGCAGTTGTTAGCACTGTGTAACTGCCACGAGGGTGCTTGACCAATTTAACACAACGTGGTGCGACCATCCCCTTTGCGCGGAGTGAGGTTTCTCCACCCCGCACAACATGATCTACTCAACACCATTATGTTTACCGCCAATAAAAAAACAGACGTGAAAAAAAAACGGTAACCTGGTTGCCGAGTTCACGAAGTGAATTGGCTTGTTTTACAACGTCGTTGCCAAGCGACGAAAACCCAATCTCGATGGCAAACACCGATGGAGGGATGCAGCAGGTGTGGGTAAATTTTCCGCCTACTTGTATACAAAAAACGTCCTGACAATTGTCGAGCCCCTACCCTCCTACTTTCAACGTCAAAGAAACGAACTTCCACTACCACGAGCTATACCAAAATAAGGCACGAAGGACATCAACATATTCCATGTGATCCATATATCGCAGCGGAAGTTCGGGGTGTTCGCCCGCATTGCAGCTTTTCGCGGAGAAAACCGAGACCGTCAAGAAGGCGACACCTGTGAGCACCGGCACATAAATGGAATGACGAACAAAATAAAAAATGTTCCTCATCTCCAATCTCTCCAATCTCTTCATCCACCCCCACGAACAGACAAGTGAATGACACGAGGTACCATACCCCCTGGACTGATTGCCAAAAGCTCCATTTCTCCGCGACGAAGAGGATGCATCAACAAACGAAACGATGCGCTTTCGGAAAGCTCTCGATGAGACGGTTCCAACGTCGCCATCTTCGCTGTTTCTGCTGTGGAGGAATCGAGCTTTGAAAATTCGCTCACGGGGGGGGGGGTGATATCTTGAGTTATGTCTCCTACGGTGAGGGGTTCTGGGACAGGGATTGCATGTTCGTACCTTTTTCATGACCGTGAGGAACTCCATCGCCACCATTCCCGCCTTGTGCTTGCTGCAGTAGGTCAGCACGTAGTTGCAAGACACCAGGCCTGGCTCCAGCTTCTTCTTGATCATCTTCCGGAATACCTCCAGCGCCCGCCGGCACTCGCCCGCGTGACACAGCGTGTTCATCAGCGTGCTGTAGCTGGCGAATCAGTTAACCGATGAGATAGCAAGAGGAAGGCGCGAAGCGGCACACAACAGAGCGTTCCGAGAATGAGAAGGAGGGGGGAGCACTCGTGTTTGCCTGCCTTAGCGGTTAAGCCATTGGCCGACAAGACGGAGCATTCTGTTCTCACAGGACTCATCACCGATGGCCAATCATTCCTCCCTACTCTGCCAGAGTTGACTCAATCAGAGGCGGCGTGCTCATGCTTTGCAAGCCTTCCGCGGAGGGGGAGGAAAAAAACTTCACTCGCGTGAACATGCCTTGCACGACCGAACCAGGCCGTGGCCACAAGGGGTGCTCTAAACTTAGCTAGAGACGATAACAGGACGTTGCCGAACACGCACTTTGACGGCCGTGCTGCTGTTGATGGGCATGAGGCCGCGCTTCTCCGAAGGCGTGACTCGACCACCCTTTGCCGCAAGAACCTAACATCCTCACCCACCACGTACATTTTTACATATAATAGCTCCTTCGTCGTTTGAGCGCCGCCTACCGGAACCACACCGCACACATGCTCGCACACGATACCTTCGCTGTCAAGTGTCTTCGCGCAACACCTTGCCCTTCCGTGCCCAACGGACAACAACGCCTCACCTGATCATGTCCGGCTTGACACCGGCCTTTTCCGCGCGACGCGCCACATCCAACGCATCCTCCCACCTGGGGTCGAGAAAAAACAGGGCCATCCGAACGGGCGGGAGCGCATGCCATTGAGACACGCCTCGCAGCAACAACCAAGCGCATGCCATGTACACATTTAGACACGCCTTGCAGCAACAACACGGGGTGGATAACACCCCGAAACGGACCGGATGGCATCATGACCGAGTGGGCTACCGGCCCTCGCTGCTCTTATCAAATGTATCGATCGTCTTGAGTAATATCTTCTGCTGTGGCCTACGGCGGGGAGACTGCACCCATATACAGCATGTTCGACTTTGCGCTGTCCCAACTTGTCTCCGGCCACGCAACTAAAACACAAGTATCTATGTACCAATGGCACAAGTTGTCTTGGACCCGCCCAATGGGAAACACTCACGACCACAAGACACCCCACAGGGTGGATATATGTAACAGCCCAAGAAGATGAGACCAGATGGCGTCAAGGCACCATGGCCGAGCCGGCTCGCTGCTACACATCGATCGTCGCGGCTGCGTGGTACACATGAAACGCTTCCAGGTCCTCTTACAGCGAAATGCAGGTAGTGCCAGCACATGCGCTGTCATGGCTTTCAGTATCGCACAAACCGGAGATATAGATATCGCACACAAGTGTGTGCCTTACAAATTGGTTATTTCACTATTCGCGCGTATCCAGTTTATCGCACAAATGCGTGTGCGCTAGAAAAAGAGAACCAGAAATTCGATTTCCGCACATGATCTTAAAAGGTCGGAGTTATTGCACAGGGGGCGCGGGAACAAAAATCCCATTCATGCTTCACCAAGTCCGTCGGACGCCTGTGCGCTAAGGCGAACTTTCGCGGCAATTGGGGACAAGGGTTGCTGATCATACAGCAGCATCGCGCACTCATACCTCCCGGCGATGTCGCAGGCGTTGATGGCGGAGTTGAGGCATGCCGTCAAGGCGGGCGGGTTGCTCTTGAAGATGGGGTTGGTGGACTTGCACATGCTGTCGAATAGCTCGATCGCTTCCTCTGTCCGTCCGCTCTAGCAGCAGCAGCAGCAGCAGCAGCAGCACGACAAAGGGTGTGCAAGGCAACGACACGAAAAGGCAACAACCACGACAACAACAGAAGAGAGTTGAAGTTGACGGACAGGAGGGTAGCTGATGTCAGGGCGAGGGAAGGCAAAGCACGCAACACGCGAAGAGGGTAAACCGTCTACAAGTCAGGATACAACAAACGAGCGATCAGAACACAGGAAAAGGCACATGAGATAAATGACCTACCCACAAAATAAGCAGCGGTGGGGAGAAGGCGTGTCGGGAACGATGACGACAAAAAGAGAGAGGTGGCACACTCTCATGTCCGTCTCTGCTGCCACACGCGCATCCACGGCACAAGGGGCAACGGAAAACCATCCTCGACAGACATCATCACAGCCCCAAGCCGACGGTTACAAAATAGCAAAATAAGCTCGTGAAAAAAACTCTTTCGCGCACGGATGATTAAAAAAAAAAAAGCGAAAAAAAACTTTCGCACACAGGTGACAAAAAAACATACACAATTGAGACAGCATCGCATCTCACCACAGCCAATGAGTTGATGACCAGGCCGTGAGTCATCGAGTCCGGCTCGTGGCCGAGTTCCGTCGGCATGCGCTCGAAGACAGCGACCGCCTCTTCCCACCGCTTCGTCTTCCCCAAGCAGTTGATGCCCATGTTGATCAGGATGGTGTTGCAGAACCTTGACGGAGGAGAGGGTCGAGGGGGGGGGGAGGAGGCATTGCAATGTTGGTCATTTCTGGTGTCCTGAGTCGAGCAGGTCTATTCTGCCCTTTGGGGTTCAGCGCAAGTCTCCCATACCAAGACCATTCCAACGGTGTGTTCAACTACAATTTCTTCCCCAAGTCAGGTGCTAGGCGGCGCGGGGCCCCGAGTACTCAAACAAATGGCGAGAGGGGGGGAAGGGGAGGGCGTACTCATACCTCAGCCATTAGACCATTGACCACGCCTCTTCGCGAGGACGGAGCACTGCTCCCACAGGACCGATCACCGACGCCCAATTGTTCCTTCCTACCATGGGGGGGGGGGGGGGGGAAA